ACTACGAGCGCCGTTCATGGTTCCACATGGTCATCAACTTCAACCGTATCTGGGTCATCCACTTGTGTTCTTTCTGGTTCTACACTGTCGCCAACTCACAGCCAATCTACACCAAGAACTACCAGCAACAGTTGAACCAGTCGCCAGAAAAGGCAGCCACCCTGTCCGCTGTCGCCCTCGGAGGTACCCTCGCTTCGTTCATTCAAATCTTCGCCACCATTTGCGAGTGGTGCTACGTCCCTCGTAAATGGGCAGGTGCTCAGCACTTGACCAAGCGTCTCCTCTTCCTCCTCCTTGTCTTCGTTGTCAACGTCGCTCCCAGCGTCTACATCTTTGGCATGGACAAGCGCACTGGTACCATCGCCAACGTTCTCAGCGGTGTCCAGCTTGCTATTGCTCTGGTTACCTACATCTTCTTCTCGGTCATGCCCATTGGTGGTCTCTTCGGTAGCTACCTGACACGCAACTCTCGCAAGTACGTTGCCAGTCAGACTTTCACCGCTAGCTACCCCCGCCTCACTGGCAATGACATGTGGATGTCCTACGGTCTGTGGGTCCTTGTCTTCGCGGCCAAGCTGGCTGAGTCTTACTTCTTCTTGACTCTGTCCATCAAGGATCCCATTCGTATCCTTTCCCACATGCAGAAGCCCAACTGCTTGGGAGATGCCATCCTCAAGGACATGCTTTGCAAGTACCAACCTCGTATCCTGCTCGGTCTCATGTACTTCATGGACTTGATTCTCTTCTTCTTGGACTCCTACCTGTGGTACATTATTGCCAACATGTTGTTCTCAGTCTCTCGCTCCTTCTACCTCGGTGTGTCCATCTGGACCCCTTGGAGGAACATCTTCTCTCGTCTGCCCAAGCGTATCTACTCAAAGGTCCTGGCGACGACTGACATGGAGATCAAGTACAAGCCCAAGGTTCTCATCTCGCAGATCTGGAACGCCATCGTCATCTCCATGTACCGCGAGCATCTCCTCGCCATTGACCACGTCCAGAAGCTTCTGTACCACCAGGTTCCTTCTGAGCAAGAGGGCAAGCGCACCCTTCGTGCCCCTACTTTCTTCGTGTCTCAAGAAGATCACTCGTTCAAGACTGAGTTCTTCCCAGCACAGAGTGAAGCTGAGCGTCGTATTTCTTTCTTCGCTCAGTCTCTGTCCACTCCTATTCCAGAGCCTCTCCCGGTTGACAACATGCCTACTTTCACCGTCCTGATTCCCCATTACGGTGAGAAGATCCTGTTGTCTCTCCGTGAGATTATCCGTGAGGATGAGCCTTACTCCCGTGTCACCCTTCTCGAGTACCTCAAGCAACTCTACCCCCACGAGTGGGACTGCTTCGTCAAGGACACCAAGATTCTCGCCGATGAAACCTCTCAGTTTAATGGCGATGACGAGAAGAACGAGAAGGATACCGCTAAGAGCAAGATTGATGATCTTCCCTTCTACTGCATTGGTTTCAAGTCTGCCGCTCCTGAGTACACTCTCCGAACTCGTATTTGGGCCTCGCTTCGTTCCCAAACTCTCTACCGTACCATCTCTGGTTTCATGAACTACAGCCGTGCCATCAAGCTTTTGTACCGTGTTGAGAACCCCGAGGTCGTCCAGATGTTCGGTGGCAACTCTGACAAGCTGGAGCGCGAACTCGAGCGCATGGCCAGGCGCAAGTACAAGATTTGCGTGTCTATGCAACGTTACGCCAAGTTCAACAAGGAGGAGCGCGAGAACACCGAGTTCCTTCTCCGTGCCTACCCCGACCTGCAAATCGCCTACCTTGATGAAGAGCCACCTGCGACTGAAGATGAAGAGCCTCGCATCTACTCTGCTCTGATTGACGGTCACTCTGAGATTATGGAGAATGGCATGCGTCGTCCCAAGTTCCGCATTCAACTCTCTGGCAACCCTATTCTCGGTGACGGCAAGTCTGACAACCAGAACCACTCGATCATCTTCTACCGTGGAGAGTACATCCAGCTTATCGACGCCAACCAGGACAACTACCTCGAGGAGTGTCTCAAGATCCGCAGTGTGTTGGCCGAGTTCGAGGAGTTGACCACTGACAATGTCTCGCCCTACACCCCTGGTCTCCCCAACACCAACTTCAACCCGGTCGCCATTCTCGGAGCTCGTGAATACATTTTCTCTGAGAACATTGGTATCCTTGGTGACATTGCTGCCGGAAAGGAACAGACGTTCGGTACTATGTTTGCTCGTACTTTGGCTCAAATCGGTGGCAAGCTCCATTACGGTCATCCTGATTTCCTTAACGGTATCTTCATGACTACTCGTGGTGGTGTCTCCAAGGCGCAAAAGGGTCTTCACCTGAACGAAGATATTTACGCTGGTATGTCCGCTCTTCTCCGTGGTGGTCGCATCAAGCACTGCGAGTACTACCAGTGCGGTAAGGGTCGTGATCTTGGTTTTGGTTCCGTTCTCAACTTCACGACCAAGATTGGTACTGGTATGGGTGAGCAGATGTTGTCCCGCGAGTACTACTACTTGGGTACGCAACTGCCTCTTGACCGCTTCTTGTCCTTCTACTATGCCCACGCCGGTTTCCACGTCAACAACATGTTCATTATGTTGTCGGTCCAGTGCTTCATGTTCGTCCTCATCAACCTCGGTGCCCTCAACCACGAGATCATTCTCTGCCAGTTCAACAAGGACATCCCCATCACCGACCCGCAGTGGCCCAATGGCTGTGCTAACCTGGTTCCTGTCTTCGACTGGGTCGCTCGTTGTATCGTCTCCATCTTCATCGTGTTCTTCATTTCGTTCGTTCCTCTCGTGGTTCAAGAATTGACTGAACGTGGTTTCTGGCGTTCTGCGACCCGTCTGGCAAAGCACTTCGCTTCTGGATCGCCCTTCTTCGAGGTTTTCGTCACCCAGATCTACGCCAATGCCCTCCACACCAACTTGTCATATGGTGGTGCTCGTTACATTGGTACTGGTCGTGGTTTCGCCACGGCACGTATCCCATTCGGTATTCTCTTCTCTCGATTTGCCGGTCCGTCCATCTACATTGGTGCTCGTTCCCTGATGATGATCATCTTCGCTTCCATCACCGTCTGGGGACCTTGGCTCATCTACTTCTGGGCATCCACGCTATCTCTGTGCCTTGCGCCCTTCCTCTTCAATCCCCACCAGTTCTCTTGGGACGACTTCTTCATCGATTACAGGGAGTACCTCCGCTGGCTGTCCCGAGGAAACACCCGTTCGCACAGCGCTTCTTGGATCGGATACTGCCGTCTCTCTCGTACGCGTATCACTGGTTTCAAGCGCAAGGCACTTGGTGACCCCTCTGCTAAGCTTTCTGGCGATGTTCCTCGTGCCAACTTCACCAACATCTTCTTCAGCGAGGTTCTCGGTCCTCTAGTCTTGGTCGCCATTACCGTCGTGCCTTACCTGTTCATCAACGCTCAAACTGGTGTCACTGACAAGCGCGATACTTCCAAGGAGGCCGCTGGTCTCCCTGACCCAAAGCCAAGTGGTGCCTTGGTCCGCATTGGTATCATTGCCTTGGGTCCCGTGGCTGTCAACGCCGGTGTTCTTGGTGGCATGTTCGCTCTGGCTTGTTGTGCGGGTCCCCTGCTCAGCATGTGTTGCAAGAAGTTTGGTGCGGTCCTTGCTGCCATCGCTCACGCCATCGCCGTCATTGTGCTCCTCGTTTTCTTCTTGGTCTTGATGTTCCTTGAGGGCTTCAGCTTCCCCAGAACTCTGTCTGGTATGATCGCTGTCGTCGCCATCCAGCGATTCTTCTTCAAGCTCATCATCGTCCTGGCGTTGACCCGTGAGTTCAAGGCTGACACCGCCAACATTGCCTGGTGGACTGGAAAGTGGTACACTATGGGATGGCACACCATCTCCCAGCCTGGTCGTGAATTCCTCTGCAAGATTACCGAACTTGGTTTCTTCGCCGCTGACTTCATTCTTGGCCACTGCCTCTTGTTCTTTATGCTGCCCATGTTGCTTGTTCCTTATGCCGACACATTCCACTCGGTCATGCTCTTCTGGCTCCGACCAAGGTACGTTGTTCCCTCCTCTTGCTCTCAAAAGCTCTTACTAACCTGAACCTAGTCGTCAAATTCGCCCTCCCATCTACTCGCTCAAGCAGACCAAGCTTCGCAAGCGCCGCGTTGTCCGCTATGCTATTCTGTACTTTGTCATCCTCGTCGTGTTCCTCGCGTTGATCATTGGCCCCATTGTTGGTTCCAAGTATATCACGATCCCAGCCAGCCTTGGCAACTCTCTCCCCATGGAGATCATGCAACCCACTGGCTACAACAACAACGACACGACAACAAGTACGACTGGCAGGTGTATCCGTGGCGAGTGCCCGGTATGGAACGGCGATTCCGATTCAACGGGAGGTGGTGGTGGAGCCGCCGCGACCGATGCCGCTGCCCGCCGATTCCGTCGGTACATGGCATACTAAAAAGTACAATTTGTGGATCCTTGTTTACTACCTTTGCACCTTGTATTGTACGACATGGGCGAAGCATGAGCGTGATTACCAATTTTTGGGTCCTGTAATGACTGTAATATTCGGGTCGAGCGTTCGATTTCATCTTTCTGATTGGGCGTTTGGTGGCAGGCATGGAAGTGTCCATGGCCCTGCTTTCTCTCTTTTCGAGCAATCATGTCTGCTTCTGCAGCAGGCTTGACTGCACATACACTACAAATGGGGGTTGTTTTGGTTCATCATGGGCAGGCGAATATATTAGAAAGCGAAATGCATTCCTGTTGAATATTTCGAGTGCTTTGAAACACATCTTGCTTTGATTTGTACCGTGTGCCTGTGAAGTGATGAGCAGTGTAGGCAGCGTAAATATGTACTTGGTGTGATTGGACCAAAACGTGCTGGGGTGAAATTGCCTGATCATTGAATAAGGACTACAGCGCTGGCTGCCCCTGGCACTTCCGTGCTTCGCCGCAACCCCCGAACTTGTGCATGCAGCGCTGTCCGACCGCCTGCCTCGCACCACACCTTCACCAGCCATGGATCTCAGTGAATTACAAAATGCGACTACGCGCTTCATTGCGGACGCCAGTGCGCAGTTCAATCGCATTCCAGGCTCCGCCATTGCTGTCCGGTACATCAAGTCCAGTTACCGCAACGACCCCGTTCGCAGCGCTGTCGAGTTGTTCCTGTTCCTCTTCGCGGTCCGATACTTGCTTGCACCTAAATACAGTACTCAGAAAAAAGTGCAACTGACGGATGCGGTATGTTTCGCGCCTGTCCGGCTGGGTTACGGTGTGGGTTCACGCAGAGATAACTAACGAAGAAATAGGAGATTGATGAGCTGGTCGACGATTGGACGCCAGAACCGCTTGTCGCGCCTACAACCGCGCTCGAAGAACTGGAAAATGAGAAGCGACCCGTCATTGTTGGGTACGACATACGCAGCAACAATAGCCATGTCCTCAATGCTAACCTGTACTGTGCAGACCGACGGGCCCCAAGTCCAAGCTCTCCAACGGCCGCACCGTGACGAACCTCGCCTCGTACAACTTTTACAACTTTCTCTCCAACGATACCCTCAAAGACAAAGCGATTCAGACACTGCGGACCTACGGTGTTGGTCCCTGCGGTCCACCAGGTTTCTACGGTACGCAGGATGTGCACATGAAGACTGAAGCCGACGTGGCTGCGCATCTCGGTGTGCCTGCTTGCATTATCTACGCCCAATCCTTCTCAACCATCAGCAGTGTCATTCCTAGTTTCAGCAAAAGAGGTGATATTATTGTCGCAGACCGTGCTCTCAACTTCGCAGCGAGGAAGGGTATACAGATCAGTAGGAGTACTGTTAGATGGTTCGAACACAACGACATGGATGACTTGGAGGCCGTGCTTAAGAAGGTTGTCAAGGAGCAAGCAAAGAAGCCACTGACTAGGCGATTCATCATTACCGAGGGTTTATTCGAGAACATTGGAGATGTCGTGAACCTCCCCAAGCTGGTACGTCGATGGCAACCTCCCTTGGTTTTCAGGCGTGTGGAAGTACTGGACTAACGGCGCATGCAGATTGAGCTCAAACTCAAGTACAAATTCCGCCTCATCCTCGACGAAACCTGGTCTTACGGAGTCCTTGGTCGCACCGGCGGCGGCGTAACCGAAGCACAAAATGTGGATGCTGCAGAGGTAGACATGATCATCGGTTCTCTCTCGGGACCTCTTTGTGCAGCAGGAGGTTTCTGCGCCGGCAACGAAGAGGTTGTCGAGCACCAACGCATTTCTTCGGCCTCATACACCTACTCTGCTGCCCTCCCCGCGTTGCTCAGTACTACAGCCAGCGAGACAATCAGCATGCTACAAGAACAACCGGATATTCTGACTGGACTTCGGGAAAACATCAAGGCGATGAGAGGGCAATTAGATCCCAGAAGTGATTGGGTTCGATGCAGCAGTTCTGTGGAAAACCCAATGATGCTGCTTGTTCTCAAAGAGGAGGTTATTGAGGCTAAGAAACTGAGCATTGACGACCAAAATCAGATCTTCAGGGAAGTTGTTGACGAGGTATGTTCTGCTGTCCTAAGTCGCGTATTGCTATGCTCTCTGGGGGACATAACGACGACGTGACAAGTTGTTTTTTCTTGCTAACGATATCTAGTGTCTCGCAAACGGTGTCCTCATTACAAGGCTCAAATCCTTCCCTCTCGGCATTGGACTCAACCCCAAAGATGCAGGATGGCAGCCTACTCCTGCGCTCAAGGTCTGTGTTACAAGCGGGCTGACAAAGAAAGAGACGGAGAAGGCTGGAACGATTATCCGACACGCCATTACGAAGATTGTCAGTCGACGAAAGTAAGGGTATTTGGGATATCACATTACATCACGAAAAGCATTGTGAGCACAGTGTCGAATGGCGTTTTCTACTTGCTGCGCCACTTGGCAGGAAGCGTTGCGCATACACTGTAATGATATACTTTCTACATATAGATATTGGACGTGGCATAGATGACTTTGTAATGCATAATAAGCCTTATTTGTACTAGTATTAGGGAGCGCATTTGTCTCCATCTCACTTCATTTGCAAATGATGTCTCCATGGGCCAATGCCACACGTGATCCTCAAGTTGTAGGTAAGAAGCTGGAGCACCAAGAGACTCAACGCATTCAAACGCTACCGAATACTACCGGTTCAATTGCCGAAGTGGCATAAAGAATACATCATGGCCCAAGGGGCTTAGTGACCACATGAGAGATGGAGCATGTGGGTGTTCAGGCATGGGAGTTTGCGTATGTGTGTGTGGCTGGTTCGCGCCGCGCCCCCCGGCATGTGAGATGACGTTTTGGCTAAACTTGTTATTCTAGGCCGGGGCCGTGGCGTACACACGCAACGCACACACGAACGCTGCTGCCCCCGAAAGACCCCCACCTGAAATAAACGTCACCGCCCATTGCCCTGCTGCGATCTGAATAACAAGCTTTGCTAGGCCCTTGACTTGCCCTGCTCTTTCTCCCGCACGCAGCCTCTCCCTCCCACACAACACATTCACACGCTTTTGCTTCCCGCCGCCCATACGCATTTTTAGCTGCAGCCTGACTTGCGTTGACCTCTTTGTTGCTTTGCCCGCCACTCAGAGTTCGTCATAAGGAATACCCATATCGAAGAGAGAGCTAGGCTACAACGACTACAACAACGACCACTGCTACACATTCAGGCATGGCGCAGCGAAGAAACGGCGGCGAGCCGCAAACCAAGGACGGCTTTGCGCCTGCAAAGGGTGAGGGTACGTGTTAAGAATAAAGAAAGAGTTGCAGGGCATACAATAGGGGGGAGGCAGAGAGAGTAAGACAAAAGGCTGACATATGATGCACAGCGCAAGATAAGCAGGTCCGTCTGCTATCCCAGGACGCTGGCCACTTCTCCCTAATACGCGCCCTCCACTTGGCCGACTTTATCACTGAGCTCAATGGTACGGTTTCGCCCTCTTTTCTCCCTTTTAGAGTGCAAATTGCAAAATAACTAACATGGCTTTTGTTACAAACCAGGTTTCTGTGGCGTCATGTCCATCTTCTCCTCTCTCCGCTACTGCACACAAGCCGACCACACCGACTACACGAACCTGTACCTCGCACTGTCCTTCATCCCACTAGGCCTCTTCTTCGACTTCATGGACGGCAAAGTCGCGCGCTGGCGCAAGAAGGCGTCGCTCATGGGTCAGGAGCTCGATTCACTTGCCGATCTCGTCTCGTTTGGCGTGTCCCCAGCCGCCGCCGCTTTCAGCCTCGGCATGCGCACCCCCGTCGACCATTTCCTCCTCGCCTTCTTCGTCCTCTGCGGCCTTACCCGCCTCGCCAGATTCAACGTTACCGTCGCCATGGTGCCCAAGGACGCAAGCGGAAAGAGCAAGTATTTTGAGGGCACGCCGATTCCTATGAGTCTTGGCATAGTGCAGGTCATGGCGTACTGGGTCTACAAGGGCTGGACTATGGATCAGATTCCTATGGGCCTGTGGCTCGAGGGCACGGCGCTCGAGTTCCATCCTGTTGTGGCCATGTTCATTCTTCATGGATGTTTGATGGTTAGCAAGAGTGTCAAGATTCCTAAGCCCTAAGGAGCACCCATGTGTTTGTGTACAGAATATTTTTGTGGGTTTCTTTCCCCTCTTTCCTTTGGGGGAATGATGACGATGTGACAAGACTATTGTCAGTTTTCGACATCATGATTGTTGCTGTGGTTGGGATTCAATGGCTGGGATTGGAATGGATATGGATATCAGTGAAGAGAGGGACAGGAAAGGTTTTTACATTTGCGATTGAGGGTTGATGCATGGATGGGTAGGCACTTCGTTGATGCTACGATGGATTGGCGGACGAGCGTATAGAAACATCATGATACCCTCTTATCAGGAATACATACATGCAAAAAGCTAGCTGGATCGTGAGAACAGAACAAAAGTCAGCACGCAATGCACAAGCATACAACTCATATCCGTACGTTCAAGTACCCAAAAAGAAGCACAAACTTCAAAAACGTCAACCCCAACCCGAAAGCCACCTCTCGTATATATATATGCATAAGTATGTTATTACCAACAATGCAGGAGAAAACCCATGTTACTTGTCTAAAAACCCGAGAAAACAACTACCAATTTCCAGTATGAGAAGCACAGGGAGAAGAGAAAAAAAGACCAATGAGTCCAAGCTTCAATGTGACGCGCAGTGGTATCATGAGGAACAATCGAGGGAAAGAAAGGTGAGGTAGAGGTAGAGAGAGAGAGGGGGGGTAACAAGAGAGTAAAGTAGGTCAGAGGGGTAAGTAACCGTGACACGCATCACCTTGTAATGATGAGGGAAAAGCCATCGAGCCACTGCGCACAGGACCCCGAGATACCACCAATAGTGTATCCACGCGGGGGAATAAGCGTGTGTCTAAATCCACATAATTAGTCAAGTTCGTCACAACATATATCGTGTTTAGCAATTGAGGAAAGAAAGAGAGAGAAATACGTACCCGCTACCGCCATTTGGGTTTCCATACCACTCGCTCTTGCGGCCCAGACTAGTGAGGATTTGCAGGCCGTCGACCCAAAGGCCAGCACGGAGCGCAAAGCCAAGGAGGAGCTCGCCCTTGCGGGTGTCGAGAGCAAACTCTGAGACGCTGCCTCCGCGCTTGCCAAAGAGCTGCGTGTCTGTGTCTTCGTAGATGAATTCTAGGCCGTCGACTGCATAGCCGTGGTAGACTTTGATGCGGAGCAAGAGCTTGGTTTGGATATGAACGTAGTCCAAGATGATTTCTTCGGGCTTTGAGCCCTCCATTTGCGAGTAGCCTAGTTTGCCGCCGCGGTAGCCCCAGCGGCCGTCTGGCAACTTGACTCTAGCAAGCTTCTGGTTGGCGAGTTTACCAAAGTCTTCGACGACGTGCTTGCCTCCACCAGCAGAGAACACTTCAACTTTCAAGCGAGACTTTTGCTTGTCGGCGGGCAGCATCGCGCGGAGAGCACCTTCATCCAGTGTCACCTGTCGAGGGTACTGGTTCTCCAACTCGGGAAACTCTTTCCAGTGGCGGCAAATGTCGTCTCCTTCAGTGTAGAGCTCCACCCATGCAATGCCGGATTTTGATGTGGCAATGACGCCGCCTTGGCTCGCATCGACCGTCCACACTTGTACGCTGTCGTCCCCATTTATCATTGGAGCATCGATCGGTATCCGGAAGCAAGGGTGGAACCGGAATCGTAGTACGTCCAACTTGTGCCACCTGCATTCGTCGTTGGGCAAAACTAACCGCTGACCTGGTGACTTGGTGCGCGTTGAGTAAGGCTCCCGACAAGTAAATGTACGGTTCAAGGTAACATAATCGCGTAACATGATCCCTGACTCCTGGTGAGGACAGCCAAAAAGATGGCCCGTCTCGTGGAGGTGTGCACCGATGCCTATGTTAGCGGCCTCCCAGTTGCTTCCAGACTCGTTACAGTCGTTTGCGACAACAGAAGTATCGGTCCGGGTGCAATCCTGGAATGCCTGGAAAACTTCCTCGATGCTCGATGGATAGCTGTGGAGCGCGTGAGAGCCAAAAATGGCAAGCTGTAGATCACCAGTACCACCGCCCAATGCCGCATGTCCCCGTACTGTCTGTGTTTGAGTATCCCACTGTGTATCGAGAAACAAGCAAGAAATGTAATGCTTCTGACCTGGCGCTATGTGGAAATAGTCCCTGCATGCCTCTATGGCAAAATCGAAGAGTTCATTCTTCTTCGTTGCAGGGCCATACTGTTGCGCACGCTCAAGGTCCCGTATTTCCGCAACGGACCTTTTGGAGCGAATAACGTGAATCTTGGCCTGTGTGCGATATTGGTTTTGCTCCCAGTCTTGATAGCTCAGTGTACCGGGTTCCCAAGCATCTTCAAAACGGAAACAGCGACGACCAAAACCATAGCGCTTCATCTGCTCTCCTGTAAAAGCTTGCCAGAGATATGCAGCCATTCGAAACTTCTTTAGTGCGAGCTCAAGGCCATTGCCTTCGCGCTCCATACGCTCACGCGGAGCATCGTATGTGCCTGGAGAATCGTGTCCGAGTATAATTGCAAGCTGAAGAGGCGGAGATTGAGTTAAGGGTAGATAGTTTATGTTGATGAAGGATGCATGCGGGGAGATGGAAGTATTTGACGAGGAGACCTTGGGCGAGGTAAAGTCGAGACGTATTCTGTTCCAGCCAGGCTCGAGGTGTATCAATGCTTTAAAGTAGGATTCGTGTACTGGCCAACAGGTGGACGGAAAGCGGCCTTGGTGGTGATTAACCGTAAGGGTGCCGTCCAAAGGTCTACTTTGCGGCTCGCCCACCTGCCCAAAAATGAGAAGGACTTGCTGATGCACCTGTGGAAAATCAGCATTGCCCGTCCAACGCTGCTATCCATATATACCCATGAGTTATCCGATATCGATACGACACGCGGCGCGAGTAGCGACGATCTGTTCAAAGAGCCATTGGAGCCACTGTGTGCTGGATATGGTCCTCCCTAGAAGCGCTTGTTAGAAGACTTGTTCTGGCAAACGACGGCGACTGCCTACATTGGTGCTGTAGCGCTTTATGGGGTCGACATTTGGACGTTGTGGTACCGGAGGCACAGGCGCAGGGGTAGGGCCGTTGACTTCATCGGTGGTGGATGTGGCTGGTGTGGTAGAGGGAGTGGAAGAGGCGACCTGGGATGAGTTCATAGTAGAGGCAGAGGCGCGATGGGCGAGGCCTTTGGCCTTGTGCTTATCTGTGCCATTGGTGGACTTATCGTCCGTCTTGGGCATGCGACTGTTTCTCCTGCTCAGGCTTCGAAGGAATGAAGGCATAGTGTCGACTAGGGCGCAGTGGTGTAGTAGGCAAGCTGTGGAAGCATAGAGGCAAGTAGTGAGCGACACAAGACGAGCTATGTGGAGCTGCCAGAGACTGCTGGGGAAGACGCGTAATGCGGCGTGATAGCCAGTGGAGGATGCTTGCAGGCGCGTGAAAGCAGTAGTTATGCGATAATGGGGACTATGCAGATGGACACAAGCGAGTGAAGGCAGGATATGCTGGATGTGACGGAAGACAGGAGAGGGTCGTGGTAATTACAGCGGTGGGTAGGGTGGGCGCCGGGCGTGAAGTAGCCTGGCCTGGTCGAGCTTGCTTGCTTGCCTGCGTCGATCCGGGCTAGCAGGCCCGAACAGGTGGAGTGGAAGAACGGCAATCTTGTCCACCGTTGGTCTGACAGCAATTGGGCGGCGGACGAGGGCAAATGCCATGGCATGCGCATCAGCATGTGCCGAATGCGTGGGCTGGCGTGCTGCAGTGCCGCATCGCCGTAAGGAGCGCACGTTACGACGTCGGCGCTGCTCACCACAATGACGTTGCCCGCCAAGCGCTAGCCTGTCTCGACTACCGGCCGCTAGCCGCTTCGGGACAGCTTGACGGCCTGTCTGTGTCCAACAGCTGCTGAGGTGGTGCGCTGCTGCAGCGTGTCGTCGTTGGCATCGTCAACGTACATACAGCACCACTATCGTCATGTATATACTGACCGAGGCCGTGGCAGCTCAGTCCAAAAATAATGCCCATGGCCCCCCCGCTGTGCTGTATCCAGTGTAGATGCATGCACGTGAGCGCTGGCCGTCGTCCCGTCCATCTATGCCAGATCCCCTGTCTCCCTCCGTCACTCTACCTCTCTCTCTCTCCCATAGTCCCTCACGCTCCTGCTCCTCCAATTCCGCACCAGTCGTCATCTGGTGTGGCTCGAGATGATGCGCGGATGCCGGCGGCGGTGCGCTGCTGCTCGATACCATACGATACCATGCCGTTCGGTACGATACAATACACGCCTTAGTCAGCACCGCCCTGTATGCTATCGCAGCCACCAGGCACACACCCCTGCCGCACACCAACCCTCTCAAGACAACTTTGCTTTGTTGCAAGCGACCGCACCAAGGCTCCAGCGCCGGATAGGAGCCCGCTACCCAGTTCACTAATGGATATATCCTGCCCCTAGTCCGCCTGCCTACCACCTGGACCTCCTCACGCCTGCGCCGCCCCGACACCACGGGGCCTGTGCTGCCGCAGACTTTTGAGCTAGTCCACTTCGATCCGCTCCTCACATTCCTTGCCTGGCCGTCACCTCAGCTCCCGCCCAGATGCTGTTTCGCCTGTAGCAACTCTACTTACTGAGACGTCAGCCAGGGAAACAACCACAACAACCACAACAACCACAACAACCCCCTCCGGCCAACCCCTCCATCATGGCTGAACAGGACGACGTTGCGACCAAGGTCCTGCGAAGGGCCCAGGTCTCAAAGGTTCATCTCCCTCTCTCTGGTCCCTTGTCCCCCGTGTGCTGATCGTGTGCTATTCAGATGACCCGCACTCTGCAGAACCGTCTCGCTCTGGCCAACGTCAAGATGAAGAATGGCTGGGAAAGCCTCAGCCTCGACGCCATTGAGCCTGTCCTCGACGGTGTCGAGCGTAAGCGCAAGCGGCCTGGCTCCAGCAATGAAGCCATGTCGGATGTCTCCAGCGTCTCGGAGCGCTTCTATCAACCCAGCGTCCTCGACTCCTCGCCCCTCCAAGCTCCCATCTTTTCAGACCACATTCGCCGTTCCGAGAGCCGGTCCGCAGGCAGCTACACCCAGACCAAGCGGCCCCGTTGCCAACGTCCCAGCACCAACAAATACCCGGCATCGAGCAACCACGCCCGAGTCAAAGTGCGCACCTCGACAAGCGCCGCTACGTCATGGAAAAATAGCTTCCAGCTGCCCGAATCCTCGCCCGTTTATCACCGTAGACATGCACGTTTTGGCCGTCAGCATGTGCCAAGCCTATCCTTTGTTTCGGAAACATCGACCGTCGCCGACTCTCATTCCCCCTTGCTATCCGAAGACGATGACGAAGACCTGCCCATCATGTCCTTCTCCCTAAACCGTTCCCATTTTCAGTCATCGCCGCCGAGAGCCCCGCGTACACCGCCCCCTGATGTTGCTCGCTCAGCACGCCTCCGACAACGTGGATTCAATGCTGCCGGTGCAGCTCGTGAAGGAAGACAGGGTGGCGATGACGCAAATTTGCTCATGTATCTAGCTACGTCGCCAACACCGGTTCGCCCAGGTCACCAGAAGCCGCAGATGCTCGCACCGTCCACTCCGCCGTCGAAATCTACTCCTCTCCCTTCGTCCATGATGTCCACCCCTGGCGGTGGTGGGTCCCATTACACAGGCTTTGGACTGGCGACACCCTCGACAAACTTGAACTTTGCCGAGTTCCTAAACATGTCGCCGAGCCCTGCGCAGGCCAACGCATCGTGGAACCGCACACCTGTCGCAACCCGAACACCCGCGGCCGTCCGAGAAGCACGACGTCATATCAACTTCGACAACATCGTCCCTCCCACCGGTGACGCCTCACATATGCGTGGTCATATTGGGAAGATGGACGGCCTCAGCATGGAACTCGGTGGTGAACTTATATCGTGACCGTCAGCACCGGCCCCTTCACACTCATCACGACATATCCCCCCAGCAACTGCTCGGGCACGACAAAACGATAACGACAACGACAGTGAGCGCATTCGACGGGTTGCTTAACCGCTACTGAATGTGCGGCCGCTGCCGACTGTTGTCAATTTCTCCTCTTGATTTAGTCTTTTTTTTGAAAAGCATGGCGTTTATGGCGGTTTGGTGAGACCCTGCCTGGTCCTGGGTTTGGACAGGACATGTCGATTTCTACATACCTCATGCATCACTGCATACGTTTGCTTTATTTTGTCCTACTCTTTTTCATGTCGCACAATTACCCTTTTGGCGGCTGTTTGCACTAGCGACTGCACAAGCGCTTTGCACGAGCACCTTTGCAAACACCTTTCTACTGGAGCATCTGTTCAGCATCTGTATTTTAATCCACTTTGTAGTTTTTCTTTGTTTGCTATCAGCACGGCTTAGCCAAGTACCGTCTCGGCATGTTATAGACCAGGTCCGGAGGCTTAGCAGGGCACTGGACAAATGCAAATGCACCTTCCCGTACAGCCATTTAGGCGAAACAGTCAGACTCAATCCAAAACTGCATGTAATTTTTTTCTTCTAGACTCCATGATTCCTAACTGATGCAGCTTTTTGTGCAGTGACCCACCACGAATGAACACGATGAGTGCAATTTACCAAATTGCCCCGAAAAAAGGACGCTACATCGTGTTATATAATTTCCGATGATGTCAGCTGATAGCACTAAAGAGCTATCACGCCTCATTTTGTCTGTCTTGTCTAGAAGACAGCACATCCCCAGCCGCCTGCCTTTGTTGGATGTCTGTCGCACCCCAGCCACCCCCTCACCCAACCCACCACACACACTTCCTCACCAACCAACACTACCCTATGCCTACAAGCAAGAAAAAAATACTCCGAGTCGAACCGAGCTTATCAGAGTATGTAAACGACGCGCGCGTATCAAGTGCCGCCGAGGCGTTTCCGCGACAAAGCATGGTAACATGAGTAGTTTAACCCAATCCCACCTTGATCATCGAAATCTAATTGGCTCCAATTACTCTTACCCTTTCCATCTCTCAAACTTCTGTCCACATACAGAGTATATAATCAAGAAAAGGGAAACCGAATCAAGCAGGGGACCTTGCTTGATCTCATCGATGCCCAGGCCGGCTCAATCCGCGGCCTGGGGGGGTGGTTGGTTGTGTGTGTGTGTGTGTGTGTGTGTGTGTGTGTGTGTGTGTGTGCATGTAATGAGTATTAATTCAAGGCTGTTTGCTCCTCCTCACTCAGTCTAGTCTCATTTCCATGTCGAAAAAAAAGGGCGGGCAGCGGGTAACGGCAGTTTTAGGTCATATTGCATGGGGGGGCATGATAAAAAAAGGTAAAAAGCGGAAACAGAGATCCAATGCCCCCTTTGGTTGGAGAGGGGGATTACTATAAGCAAGTAGTATAGTTACGGGATCAAGGATGGAGGAAGAACCATGGTGACATGGCTGTAATATTTACGTTCGTATCGTAATTTAAATTGCCCGGCGGCTGCGTGTGTTGTGGGTTTTCCCGGATGTGGGTTGGGTTGGGTCTTGTTACGGGTTAGGTACAGCGGGGAAGGAGGGAAGGATAGGGCGGATCGACGATCTAGTGCGTGGCGCGGCATGTTTGACGCTTGACCTGTTTTGCACGCCTTTTTTCGTGTGCTTGCGTGGGTTTTTGTGGTTTGGTTTGGTTGGGGGTCGGCTGAGCTGGGCGTGCGGTCTAGTTCGTAATGGTACCATTAACTATAATTGGTGTTGGCGGAAACGACAAAAACGGGCGTGGCCGTGGAGGGTGCGGATCTTCCATTATCTCATCAAGGCGTCATGGTGTCGTTGTTTTGTCTCAAATGTCACAAGTTCGGTCGCGTCGGCTGGGTGATGGACGGACCTCTTTCGTTGCGAGAACAGAAGAAGGGGGGCAGCGGACTGGCTTGAGCTTTGTCTTGTTTTTCTTTGTTAAATCAGGCTGTTTTGGGATGGTGATGACGGGGATAGGGAAAAAAAGGTAGGTATAGTTGTGTTGAGTTATGGGGATAGATAGTCTTTTTTGCCCTTTTTGGGGGGCTGATTTCGGGAGTACTCGTATTACCGCGAGCGCTTGGCTTGTTCAAGGGCTGAGGTATCACCCTTTCGCAACCTCCTTACATTACTACTTCGCTGTAGTGGTAACATGTGTAACTTATTTTACGCATAACAAAGAGGACAGAGACAAAGAAAAGTCCCTGCATCCTGCATCTTATCCTCCTTGTGCTGTATCTACACCCAAGTACAGCTGGCTCAGATAACGGGGAGAGGGAAAGGGGCAGGTGGCATGCTGATCCTTCACCCCCGTTCCCAATAATTAGCATTGTATACCCCATGTTACTTTTTTCAGCCTTGACTACAGTTGTCATGCTCTCACTTGCGCCCGATTGCTGCCCTTTAGACTTGGCGACCTGATCTGATGGTTGTTGCTAAGGGGGCTTGAGTGTTAGTGGCTTGAGCCACAGATCCCTATGTAGGTACGAGAACAAGGGAGGGGGGCTTTTTTCCATATGACCATCTAAGCAAGGTTGAGAACGGGAGAAGTGTGAACTAGAAGGTGTACGCATGCAGGTGTGCTGCTGATTAGATGCAAGTACCAATTTGGTTGGGTTGGCACTTGTATTCGTATTTCGCTCCACGCTATGCTTCAAGACATCCATTCTCATTCTTCATTCCTATTGCTATCATTTAGGTGTACTGTTACTCCTACACACATGCGCTTGTTTCGCTGCTGTGCGCCAATCCAATGGTATCTCGTTCATCATTTATACACTTCAGCATTCCCTGTTGCTGTCGCCCAGATTACATGGTACATGCTTACCATCAATTCATTCATAGACACGTGGCGCATGAATTGTAGATAAAAAGGAAGAAGAAAAAAAGCATGACATGCAAAGAAGTTTGGAAATATTTCTAATAACAAAGAAAACAGCCAGTACCATAACATCCTGCTACCTGACGTAGGTGTTGGAGTTGACTTGGCTGGCCATGACCATCATCCAGATGAGAAACACCGTTCCGATGATCCAGAATGCAAATTGGGCCTGCCAGCATTGGCCTGTTTCCAGCTTGGTTAGTCTCTCCCATCTTTCGAAAAGAACGTATGGTTACTTACAGATATTCCTCTGCTGCAAAAACGCTAGCGTTTCCATGGTGGGTCCCCTTGCATCGTTGTTGAACACATAGGTATTGCATTGATTGTTGATGTTGGGTCCAGCGAAGAGTTGTATCGCAGTTCCTATGACGCCGGCGAGGAAGAGGACGAGCAGGATGAAAGAAAACAACATCATGACGCCAGGAAGGAGCTTCCGTTGCGCAATGTAGATGATTTCGATAATGATGAAAATGATAGCGAGAGTGCCTACCGTGACACCATACGGCATGATCCTATACGGAACTCGGGTTAGCAGTCGTCTCTAGGGAGAATTGAGGATTGTTTGCATTTGCTGCTTGAGAATAGGTAGTAGACTTTCACATACCATGGCGTTCCCAAACCCATTCGATTCTGTATGTCCATGAATTGCGCATTCACGCCCAATATTAGCCCTGCTGTTGCCAGCATAACTATCGTCCAGATGTTCAGTTGTAAGTCTGGCCAGTAGTACTTTTCCCGTACCACTATCGCCGAGCCGACGACTGTGCCTGAGTGTCCTGCGCGCGCCATTTTTTCGATCTTTTGAGCCTTGAGGCTTTGTCGCACGCGGTTTGCGATGGATTTGCGTTCAGTTGGGGTCGCACAAGGCGAGGGGGTTGTTGCGCTCGTGTAGCTGCAATGGTATTCCTAGGTGTGGAGCTGCGTTGCCTTGTTTACCGTCGGTTATCCGGAAACTGACTTGGCAGCGTCGCAATCTCTCTTCCCCTGTCCAGCAATTGACCAGATGTGCCTCTCTTCTGTTGATATCCAGTCTCTCACGGCGTTGTCTCCGAGTCTTTGCGCGCTGTCGTACGGAGGCTGTGGGGAATTGGCACAAGCGAATGAGTGACGTGAGGGTGCGGCTCAGACACGGCGGTATTGTTGCGGGGTGGAATGCGGAGAGTTCGGTGACACCAGGAGACCCCTTTCAAGGAGCAAAACTGAGGAGGAAAAAGAAAGGTAGGAAAAGATGGGCCGTGTACACAGTAAGAGGAACACAAAAGTCGTCCGAGCCCCTACAGAACCTGTTGTTGTTGATGCTTCCGCGGACCGCCGCGATCCCATTGAGGAGGCTGGGCTGGGATGGCTGGCACGTCGCCAATGAGTTTATTGGCCGCGGCACGAAGCTCCATCGGAAAAAAAGCCCAACCTTTCGACTGTCTTGGGTCTTTCGCAGCATCCGACAGCTGTGACGTTGACATCACGGCACGCATATGCTTTGCTTATTCTAGCACATGTTGGGAATTACTGAAGTTCGTCTTGTCACCCGCGTCTTTGATTGTAGGTTAATTAGTGGCTGGTGAAAACCATCAGCATACAACAAATGACCACTTCCAAAATGAAATGATGCGCAATCCCACATGCTTCTTTGTAAAGTTGTTTTGGTGACACGTCAGAAGTTCGGCATCTGGTGCCTCTCAAGATTTCAGTGATGTGGCGCCATCTCTCTCAACCCCAACAGTCAACCATGATCACCACGTACAGTGCTTCTCAGCTTCCCGTCTTTGCGATTGCTTGTAAAATCGAGAGTAATTTGGCTAGAAAAATAACAATCCGCGCATCCATCTCAAAGTGTCCGCAACAGGGCGCCATATTTTCGACATGGTACAGTGATTCCATCGCAACTCCAAAACGCCGACAAATGATCATGGTATCGGTGGGTAATCGTAGGCTCGAGCCGAAACGGCAGCGCAAAAGGCAGCGCTTCTCCACCGTGAGGTGATCGTCGTCCCAGGCCGAAGCATTTAGTATCCTCCTCGTCCACGTCCACCAAAGCCACCACCGCCACGTCCACCGCCTCTTGAGAAACCACCGCTTCCGCCGCGACCTCCACCACGGGCACCAAAGCCTCCGCGTCCAGGGGGTCCACCCCGTCCACGCGGTGCTCCACGGCCGCGACCTCCAAAGCCGCGAGAACCACCTCGTGGTGCTCCACGACCTGCGCCAGCGGGCTTCTTGACCTTCGTAACGCCGCCAACAGGCTTGGGCTTAGGCAAGAACCTATTTTTGTTAGCGCACTAGATGGACAGCCAGGTGAGCCACGTTACCTGTCAAGAGGGAGCAGCTTGTCGCCTCCAATGTAGAACTTGTCGCCAGCCTTGAATGACTTTGCTTGTATGCCCTCTTGCGGCTTGATGGTGAAGTAGACCTGGTTCAGCGGGCCCATGATCTCGTCAACTTTTCCAATGGGCGTCTGCAGATGGGTCAATCCTTTTTTCTCCTTGGCTTCCAGATTCGAAACATATGTACCTTGTTCTCCAGGTAGATTGGCGCATTGAAGTAGGGAATCTTGGTGTTTATCGATTCGCAGAACATCTCGTTTTCGCAGTCGTGAACAAATTTTCCCATTTCTTACAAAGAGTTAGCTCGAGCCTTTTCGCATCAAGGTGCTCTTCTTACCAACAACAGTGTCTGGGGGTCCGAAAGAAGCTCCCATTCCACCGCGTCCTGTGGCGCATTAGCTAGGAAATTCTGCACAGCTCTGAGCGTGCCACATACCACCACGCGCAGAGAATCCACCACGTCCGCCGAAGCCGCCGCCGCGACCGCCACGAGGAGTTCCGCGAAATGCCATTGTTTCTGTTGTGTTGAGAGTGGTCGGTGCGCGAAAGGTGAGCTTGTTCGAGAGCTTCGCGAAAAGTTCGAACTGAAAATGAAGTTGGAAAGTCAGGGCCAATCGGTCTCACGTTTCGCCGATGGATCCTGCCGCCGCATAACCCCACCAAATGCACCTGCCAAGGCCAAGTGGGCTGTCGTGGGCGTGGACCTTTCTGAAATTGTGTATGAGTCGGACGTTGCTTTGCATCCGGACTTGACCCTCCAGACTGGTTCGGAGACACTCTACTTGAGACAAGGTTCATCGCATTTGCATCCCATTCTGAGTCACCTCATCTTGTGCAGTGCTTGACTCACCACTGCTGTATACATACAAAAACCGCCCCGCGTGCTTGAGACTCGGCAGTAACAACAACATGGCGGACGCAATCAAAGATGCCGTCAACTCGGCCGTCGAGGGAGTGAAAGACCTGGCCGTATCTGCCGAACAGAAGGCCGAGCAAAAAGGAAACAAGGCCCCGAAACCGAAGAAGGAGAAAAAGGCCAAGGGTGATGCTGGCGATGGTCGTCCATTGATGCTTGACCCTGCACCAGCCTACATAGACCATCGTATTAAGATTTTGTAAGTGGTACTTGGAGTTTCGCGAAATCCATGCTAATCACGTCCCAGTGAGAAACTCAAGGCAAAGTACGACGAAGAAATCGCCCAGAAGCCCCGCGGTACGCTCGTCACTTCGACACGAGACCATTTTGCATAGTGCTGACTCATTGCTTTTGCAACAGAGAAAATCACCATTACGCTTGAAGACGGCAAGATTGTTGAAGGCGAATCATGGTCTACCAGTCCTGCCGACATTGCGCGAAACATCTCCAAGAGTCTGTTTGAGCGCACCGTTGTCGCGCGTTTGGACAAGGGAACACCGGAAGAGACACTTTGGGATCTTGAACGACCACTGGAGAAGAGCTGCAAGCTTGAGCTCTTGCCTTTTGACGACCCTGAAGGCAAGAAAGTCTTCTGGCACTCGAGCGCGCATATCCTAGGAGAAGCCTCGGAACGCAGATTTGGATGCGACCTGTGCATTGGTCCTCCTATTGAAGATGGATTCTACTATGAGGTCTGTTTTATTACAAAATTTCAAGGACACTGCTGATTATGTTACAGATGGCCCTCCCCGATAACGCTGCCGTTGATCCCGCCGACCACAAACCGCTAGAGACCATTGTCAACAGCATTGTCAAGGAGAAGCAAGTCTTCGAGCGTCTGACCCTGTCCAAGGACGATCTGTAAGACTTTTCATTCTTTTGCGGCGAATCTATCTAACTTGTCTTAGGCTTGAGATGTTCAAGTCCAACAAGTACAAGCAGCACATCATCAAGGATAAGATTCCCGACGGTAGCTTCACCACTGTGTACCGGAACGGACCGCTAATTGATCTCTGCCGAGGACCCCACGTACCGCACACTGGACGGATAAAGCAGTTCAAGGTCATGAAGAATTCCGCATCATACTTCTTGGGTGATGCCAAGAACGACAGTCTGCAACGTATCTATGGTGTTTCCTTCCCCGACAAGGATGCGATGCAGCAACATCTCAAGTTCCTTGAAGAGGCTGCCAAGCGCGATCACCGCAAGATTGGAAAGGAACAAGAATTGTTCTTTTTCCACGAGTACAGCCCTGGTTCGTGCTTCTTCCTCCCACATGGTCAGATCATCTACAACACACTACAAGCCTTTCTGCGCGAAGAATACTGGAACCGTGGGTATCAGGAAGTCGGATCACCGAACATGTTCAATTCTGCACTATGGAAAATTTCGGGTCACTGGCAACATTACGCAGACGACATGTTCACTTTCGATGTCGAAAAGGAGAAGTGGGCTCTGAAGCCCATGAACTGCCCTGGACACTGCTTGATTTTCGGGCACCGTGAGCGTAGTTACAGAGAATTGCCTATTCGCATGGCTGACTTTGGTATCTTACATCGGAATGAAGCCAGCGGTGCGCTTACTGGCCTTACCCGTGTACGCAGATTCCAGCAAGATGACACCCATGTTTTCTGTACCCAAGATCAGATCACGGAGGAGATCTCTGCGCTGTTCGACTTCCTAAGAGCTGTATATGGAAAGTTTGGTTTCACATTCAAGCTGAAGTTGAGTACACGTCCTGAGGGCTTCCTTGGTGACATCGAGACCTGGAACAAGGCCGAGGCGAAGCTGACCGAAGCTTTGGATCAATTTACCGCTGAGGGTGGTGGCGCTTGGGAGCTTAACCCTGGTGATGGTGCTTTCTACGGTCCCAAGATCGATATTACCATTTCGGACGCTTTGAAGCGAGAGTTTCAGTGTGCTACTATTCAGCTCGATTTCCAGTTGCCTATCCAATTCGGACTTGAGTACATGACTTCTGAGGTCGTTCCTACAAAGGCGAAGGAGCAGCTGAAAGAAGTCGAACAGGCCGACCAGAAGAAGGAGAAGCCAGAAGCTACTGATGCTACTGTGGCCAAAAACCCCAAGGAACCACAACCAGGTTATGCAAGGCCCGTCATGATTCACCGTGCTATCTACGGTTCCTTTGAGCGTTTTATTGCGTAAGTCTTGACGCTCATTCGTGATCAGAACATTCCCACTAAACAGCTCCAGTATCCTCACAGAGCATTTCGCGGGTAGGTGGCCTTTCTGGCTATCACCTCGCCAAGTCATGGTCATTCCGGTGATGCCGAGCGCAAACGACTATGTCAAGGAAGTTCAGGCTGTGCTCCGCAAGAACCGTTTCCACGCCGACATCGACATTAGCGGTAACACTATGCAAAAGAAGATCCGCACAGCACAGTTGGCACTATACAACTTCATCATGGTTGTCGGTGCAGAAGAGCAACAGGCGAGGGCTGTCAACTGGAGAAACCGCGATGACCAAGAGACTCAACAGCGTGGCGTCATCGTGCCGCTTGATGAGGCTGTCGAGAAGCTGGTCAAACTGAGAGATGAGCGCAGGCTTGAGAACAAGGTTTAAATTAAGCTGGTGGAGAATGAACCATGACTGATGCATATGAGGCGTAAAGGGGCATGAAGATATGAACTGAGGAAGTATAGTGAGGCGGCGTGGCTGACATATGTCTGTTTAAATATCTGAGAGAACTGGAGAGTACGGAATGGTTCTCTCCAATACCCCAAAAAGAACCCCAGAATGAATTTTGCTCAAGTATCAGCCGTTTGATTTGGTGTATGGTGATGGAAGAGTGAAAACGGTGCTCGTATGGCGAAATGTGATAGGAAACACCCCCGCTTTACTGGAAGAAACCAAGCGATCGATACCCTTGCGTGAGGGGTTTACTTTATTTGGTACCTATCAATTTATAGTATTCCACGGTCTCTGCACAGCTCGAGTGTTACTCATGAATAAGCTACCTTAGTTTTCCCGACCGATTTGGATGGCTACGGTAGAGGTGCGCTTGGATTGCCAGGTTCGATGGTTGCATAATTGAAACTGTCACGATTGGCATGCTTGTCAAAAGCTTAGCATCTACTTATGCAGATAGAGTTCGAGATTATAATGTGCAGCGTAGATGCAGAGGATGTACCGTGTACTTACGTATGAGAAGAAAGTTCCAAGACATTGGTAGCCAATCAAGAGGCGGGGAGACGCTAGGGTAGGGGACCCTGCGTCCAAGTGCGCAGCCAACGGTCAGAACAAGCCCTTGTGGACTCGAGAATGAGGCGGGGAGATTGTACTGCCCCAAGCTTACAGTTGAATAGGGGTGGAGTTATGTACTTAGGTTACATGGTATGACGCCAGGTTTTCGCCTCACGAGCGTGCCTACTGTCGTCCATGCTTGCTTGCTCTGCTTCAATCGACGCTTCTTGGGTACACGCTACGTCATTCGTCACCCGTCACGGGCCCGGCCGTCCCTGTAATTAACTACTTGCCCAGAAGCTGTGCTTGCTCTCCTAACCTCCATACCATCCTCAAAAAATACCCACGTCAATTCACATTTCCCAATCACAATGACAGCTAATGCGCCCACGCTGATCAATCTGCCGCCGCCGCCATCTGGAGACGAGACTCCAGGCGATGCTCCGTAAGACATCATATGTCCCCGGCGGGGCTGAGTATTGACAAAGTCGACTAATACCATGCACACAGGGGCACACCCAATTCCGTTACAACTACCATGTCTGAGTTGTCTACTGTTGCCATCAAGGACGGACATCGAGGCCACTTTCCCCACCATCGCAATCCAGCTGAAGCTGAGCGCGCGGATCGCATCTCACGTCTGGCTGGCCTTGAGCGGGTTGCAGTCTCTGGCCGCTCTTCCCAAGGACTCAACCCAGGTGTCGCAGCCAACCACCCTCTAGCTTACTTTGACGCAAACAACCAACCCCAGCTGTTCCGCGAGCGCAGTACCGTTGGCAGTGCTAGTGCCACTGGATCTGTCGGTGGTCGCACAACCTGGGCCAGCGGCAGCGATGTGTATGAGCCAGACCGGATGAGCGAGGATCAGGACATGGACACTTCAAGCATGGGTGGCTTCAGCGACGAGGCGGCTTCTCTGGTCGGTTTCGGTGAGGGCGCGAGGACGCCAGCTCGCCACAACAGTCAGCTCGGCAGTCCGGCTGTGGGCAAAGCGAGCGCATTGCCTGGCTATCTAAGGGACCAGACCCCGGCGAGCCCTATGTCGAGCGTCGGCGTCCCTCCCAGCGCGGGATCGACGCAGACCATGTCGAGCACTGAGCAGCAGAAGAAAGAAGCACGCATGATGAATGGCATGACGTACGACGACAAGATCGTCGACACTGCTAGCGATGGGCCTACTACCAGTGGCCGGGATGGCGACTCGACCTCAGGAGACGCCATCCGCAAGCGCATGCAACAACGCCAGGCTGACCAGGACGCGCTGACGCCTGAGCAGCAGAAGGATGCCTAGGCGGAGGGTCTCTGTTTTCGTTGGGTTATGATTTCAGGCGGGAGTTTGGAATGCTGTCATGGCTACGGCAGGCGGTCTTGATGATTTTTCACATTTTCAGTATGAATACAACGCAGCATGATTATTGAAAATAGCTTGTGCTTGTTTGAAACAAGGAAGCATATAGCGAGTCCGATTGAATTGACTGTATGAAAAAAACCCTTTTGACGCCTGTTGGCGATCAACACTTTTGCAAAGTGCTGTGGCAACCCCGCATTCCGCCTGCAGCTGGTGATAGGAGATAGCAGCTGCGGGCATTGCAACTGCGGGCAAGCGTCCCCCGCCCACTTTGATTCCGCTTCACATGCGGCGACTCTGTTGTAGAACAACCGATAACTTGTCGTCTCACACTAGTATCGCTGTGTCCTGAGCACATGCATACTTGACGGCATATAACTCTCTGCTCCACACCGACATAACTCTTAACTCCTGCTGCGGAGCCCCGCATCCCGAAGTACGCAATACGCCATACGCGACACGCAGGCGTCGCAACCATGACAGAACGCAACCACAGCGCCGACACCAAGAATGCCTCCCTCAGCAGCTCCACCTCATCCATAGGCCGCAACGCTCCGCCTGCTCTCAAGATGGGCTCTGCTCCAAGTCCACACTCGTCGCACCGCTCAAGCTTTGCTGAGCATATGCGAGGAGCCCCCACATCACCGCGCGCATCACGCCAGCCCTCCCTCACGCAACAAGCCCTGCAGGAGCTTCTCAACAACCCTCCAACAAAGGGCGGCGATTCCAAGTTCCAAGGACGTGACTGGAAGACTGTCCGTCTTCGCGAGATTGTCGACCCTGAGCTGGTCAGGTTTGTCGAGTACGACACCAGTGTCGAGGATGCTACGAGTGTGAGGAACATGGCTGCATCCTCTTGTTGCACGCTCGATACTGATATGCATAGATACTCGTCAAGAACGGTGCTCCCAACGTCGTCCTCCTTCGCGAAGATACCAATTCGCGACATGCGGTCGGGACCTTTGATTACAGCGATCTGAATGCCTACCTTCTCCTTGTAGTCGGCCTTGCACAACCTGAAGAGAGAGACATTGCATCATTCGACGAGCTTGCAAGGAAGGGTCGAGAGGGCAAGCCCATTCCCCTCAAGGACGTCAAAGAGGTTGGCGGCAACAAGGAGCCGTTGATCACCCTTGATGAGAATACAGACCTGTGCAAGGCGATTGAAGTGTTTGGCAGTGGTATACACAGAATACTCGTTGTTGAAGAAGGCTCACAAAATGTCGTTGGAATTCTCACACAGTTGAGACTAGTGAAGTTCTTCTGGGAGAATCGATCGAGCTTTCCAGCCGTCAACCAGCTCTACCCGCAGCTGATCAAGGACTTGGATCTTGGGTCAAAGACGGTCATGGCCATCAAGTGAGAATCCGTGGCATTTATCAATGTCTCTGAGCTGACCAGACAAACAGTGGAGATAAACCTTTGGCGGCAGCTCTCGAGCTTATGAACAACGAAGGCGTCTCGTCTCTCCCAGTCCTCGATGCACAGAACAATGTTATTGGCAATATATCACAAGTCGATGTTCGGGTAAGCTTTGAGGATTCTGGCCTTTTGCATCTGTGACTAACAGTATATCGATAGCTCCTGACTAAGTCCACATCACTTCCGTTACTTCGCTCATCCTGCATCCACTTTATATCCGTCATCCTATCTGAACGGGGTGTGAATGACGGCAAAGACTCGTTTCCTGTGTTCCATGTAAACCCATACAGCACGCTTGCACATACGGTGGCTAAGCTGGTAGCTACCCGCTCACACCGCATGTGGATCGTTGATGCACCATCACCTGCCTCATCAGGGCCTTCCACGCCCGCAATAACACCCGCAATTGTTGTCCCACCTTCACCAATCACGCCGCTGCCTGGTTTGGCCGGTCCAACTCCAGTGACCTCTACGGCACCCACACACCTTGCTGCTACAGGAGCCGTTGCCCCGTCCATTTCGGCATCAGCAATTTCAGCTATGCCTGGAGCTAGCCTCTCAGGCAGACTCAGTGGAGTCATCAGCCTTACGGACATCCTCAATCTCTTTGCACGAGCCAGCGGACTAAACCCCCATGATCCAGATGAAGCTAGACGGGCCAGACGCAGGTCAAGTTCCAGTAGCATGAGGAGAAGCATGGATAGCTCGCGCAGTGAGAGTATCTCGGCCATCGCAGGCAGGCGCAGCAGTGTAAGTGAAAGGGAAAAGAATGGTCCAGCGCCTCAAGGTTTGGGCATTTCCAGGGGTCGCGGCCCGTGAGAGGGAACCTTTGGGCCAGGGGACCTCGATCCTTTGAAAGAACATGATTTCCTTTGCACTTAGAACCACGCGTGACGAACGTTTTCCGCATGTTGTCTATCAGCAAGTTTACATCCATCATTGGCGGGAATCGTGGCTCATGACCATTAGCACGCTCCTTTTCCTTTTGGTTTTTAATGTGCATTATTTATTTTACTTTGTCAAGCCAGTATTCATATGAGCGAAAGACCTTTTTTTTTCCTATGCATATAGTTTCTTGCGAGTGAACCATAGAAGACAGGAGAAAGAAGAAAAAGATTGTCGTTTTATTTTTTGCTTTTTTGTTTCATAACAAAATGTCAATATGGAAGCACTCGTCACGTGTGCATCTCTTTATGTAAACAACCAAGCCTTGCAACACTTTTGTATCTGTGCCTTGTTTTCCCCAAGAGGAAACGAACTGAGGGATTTTTTTTACAAAAGGAAAGTGATATCATCACCTATATAAAGTTTTCGCCAATCGGCCCCCGTCCGGGATGTTGGAACGAACGATGAAGGGTCGGCGGCCACTTTTTAACTCTCAGACAGGGAAGGACGGTTGTAAAATTAGCGGAATGGAAAAGATTATGACGATCAGGAAAGGCTTGCTCTAGTGAACATGTTGCCGATCCTCTCTCTCTCTCCCACACATACGCAACCCCCCAAGCTTTCTTGCGCAATAAAGTTGCAAATGTGGGAATTTAAATTGTTACTTTTTTTGTCCGACCCGAGAATGAAAACTAAAGGGTTTGTGGCTGAATAAAAAAAGGGTCAAGAATAACATCACGTGGGGGGGATTCGAGAGACAGTTACTGTAATGCAAAAAAGGTGGGGATGGATATGAGTGCGGCTGTCATGTTTTGTGTGTGTGTGTGTGTGTGTGTGTGTTGGAAGGGATGTTCCCTGCAGCGTATACCGGAGCATGTGTAAAAAAGAACGTGGGTCCTTTTACAGGTTCGGATGTATTGTGCCGGGCTTGTAAAGTAATCACCTTGTCAATATCTGCCTTGCAAGGGTGGTTTTGGCCAGTAGTATCCTTCTTGTTTTGTGTGATGAACTAGTCACACTGTGTTTATGGATGACGGAGCACTTTATTTGTTAAGATATCCGCAGGGACGATATTTGTGCTGAGCTAATTATTTCGCAATTCATAAAAATGCAAGTAATCGGATGCAAAGTAAAGTTTGTATGCAAGCCTCTTTTTCGCTCGTGCAGGCGCCCCCCAGAAAACAAACATGGTTGGCGTGGTTTAAAAGTACGGATTTGCGAGGAAAGAAGAAAATACACACGGCTGTAACGAAGCGCAGGGGGCGCCTAAAGAGGAATTGGTGGAGAAAGAACAAAAGATATGCAGGAGAACGGAACGAGGGGGCGGGTTGCAAGGCCCCTCAGGCGCGAGCCATCGTCTCAGACCATGCACGCCTGGTTGCAGGTCGTGTGCCTGACGGGATATTAGGTGTGTCTGCCCTTCCTCACTCCCTCCCTCTCTCTCCCCTCTCTCGTGATCCTTCCCGACCGGGACGGTTTGTTCGGTATACCTGTCGTAAGTAATATTGCGTGTTCGCTGGGATGCGTGACTCAGGAAGACTGCCCGCCTCAATGGATGGTGCTCATCCCCGTACATCGGCCAATAAGTCCATCAGCCGGCGCTATCGGCTTGTGACCGCGCCCGCCGAGATGACTGCTTGGGAGGATTTCTGGGAGCACTGGCGTTTTTTTCTTGCTTCCTGGTAACTGGGTCTTTTGTTCTGCTCATGTTCATATCGTATTTTGTTGCCAAGGCGGTGGTAATGTGACTGAGATACACATGGTATTTGCTCGTGAACACTGGAGACTTGTCTTGGCAGGAACAAGGTAGTAGTAAGGTGTTCGCATGCATATGTTCTAGATGTCGTCTTTTTTTTGCTTGCGTTCACCGCGATATGTTTGTTTATATGCTAATATTACTGCTCTTAATACTAAGTAGTCAGCAATTCCAGTCGAACCGACGCTGACCCGACGGAAACTTTTCCAACTTGTCGAAGTAGCAAGCTTACATATATTTGTCTTCCATGGTTGAAACCTACCGGGGTGTATTTATGGTTTCGTAGTTGTGGATTAGTCTGACATGCATTGCACTACGGTTGAGTATGATGAAGCTAAATGGAGTCTTGTATATGCTGATGTGTGAGGATTCAAGAGACTGCAAAAGGCTAAGTACACTCGCTTTCTTGTATCTATGTACAGTCGATCACACAATGTACTGCCTTCTTTGACTAATATGCGTCTACATTTTATAACCCCGCCTCTATGACTTGGGTCGATTTTCTAGATATTTGGATAGTTTATATCCATACAGGTACTAGCCTCACCTAGTCCGTATTGACGGCCACGGTCTGGAAGCGTAATGATTTCACATGTGACTTTACTGGCCTACTGGGACAATGGACTACCGTGGGTGACATTCCGATAGTACGGAGTATTGAGACGTTTGTGCTGACTGGACAAAGTGACACAGGGAAACCATGCATTGCGTTTGATGATGATGAGACTAGCTGCCAGCCAGTACGTGGTCGATGATCAGAGTACATGTAATGTAGCCAAGTATTGGTTTTTCCCCTACGAGGTGTTCTCTGGATAGGTACACCCTACCATCTGATAACATAGTTTTGTTCTACAACCATGTTTTGTTTGTACGGCCCGTG